ATGAAGAACAAAGGTGCTAATAATGAAGAATTGGTGACAATCATGATGTGAGGCTAACATATATGATGAGAGAAATCTCAAATGAGCCTAACTAAATGTTACCAATACGTACTCACCAATGAGAGTGTAAGATAATGACGAGACCAGCCTCTATGAACACTCTAATGAAAATATTGAGTTTAAAACACTTAATACTAAATGATGAGATGAGAAATCATCTAATGAGCTATGATGTCCTCATACTAGAATCCAGCTTCCATGATGTATGAGTTGAATGTAATGGAACTTTATACTGAGCACCGATAGGCTAACTATGAGAGGTGATGCCTTCTTTCGTGAAGGGCGGAGGTTCACTTAACTCTCATGAGATGAGACTGTCCGTCTTGCCGGGTATGGGTCTCCATACATCTCTTAGTCTTTGAACCTATATTGTCACTATAGGGATCTGGCGGGGTTAAATTCCCATATACGCTAGCATGTTATTGAGTCACTTGGCCGGTGATTCCACTTCTTTTCGGTGTGGGGGAGACACTGGATTTCATGATGCTCACATGATCTATGTTGGTTAAAGTTAAAGTTCCCAATGAATGAATGAGGCCAACCTCAAATGAATCATATAAAGAAATGAATGATACCGAAGGTGTTAGAATAGGATAATCAAGAGGTTAGCTAGATCAAGATAATGACATTAGGTTATTCCTGATCATTGCACAACAAACCCGATGAAAGTCTTAAACTACATCCTAGGTATAGCTGGTGTTCACATTGGCTTATGAATGAACTAAAATGAGGTACGTATGAATGAATGAAGCAGACTCTATTTTTGCTAAGGAAGACTCCCTAGTTGAGGTTCCATATATTGAGACCTCATTTTGGAAGTCTTAAGGTCAAGTCCATGATAACAAGGTCTCATGGCATATGAACGAATAATATGAAAGAAACTATGTGTTATATGTTATGTGCTATATGAAGATGTTATGCGTTGTGTGTAGTACGATAATTATAATGATGCATGTCACTCTCATGGCATAACTTTCCCAATCTCAAATTGGCAAGTCCACTGACTTGACTTTTAAAAATCATGTTGTTAGGAAAGAGCTATTCTTTCTCATTCATGTCCTTGGTGTGTGCTTGCATATACCCATACTTAGTACAAGTGTGTGTTAATTCCATACAAACTCTACTTTTAGGTGCAGGCACAGGTGGACGACAGTAGAGCTACAGGTTCGTTGTTGCAGCTATCCGGACGTCAGCATTCATCCGGAGTTTGGTAGGTCCTCACGCTTTAGAGGATGCTACTGCGATATATTCTTGCGTAGTTTTAGAGTTGAGCTAGTGGATCATGTTCCACTAAAGTTTCTTTCATGTTTTGGTTTAGACTTTGTATTAGTGCTATTTTGGCCGATATACAATTAATACTTAATGAATTATTTCTTTCAGTTGCTGTTAATGTTAGATAGTTGATGATGAACGATTACGAAATATAAAGAAAATGTTTAGCAAGTATATTTAAAGAATTAAAAATTTCAAATTTTCCGCTAAAATTAACCTATATAAGTAAGATTGGCGTAAGTAGGCTTGTTTGCGACCTCTGAGAGGTCAACGACGCCGGTCTCGTCTGGAGTCTAGATTCCGGTCGTGACAAGAGAGTGCTGATAAAGAACCTGAAAAGGAGATTTTCCCTTAAGAACTATAGAGGGTATCGATTAATTATGTATGTGGTAGTGGTAACACATTTTTCCAGGAACCTCATGTTAACATCCTTCAAATGGGAGCAACGTCTCAATAACTCAATTAAAAAAGAATTTAGTTTGAAATTTTTTTAAACGATTTAAAAGGGGTTAAAAGGGGTAGAATGAGTTCAAAGGGATTAAAGGGAGTCACTACCTAATTTTTAGGGAAACTAGGAAACCAATTAGCAAATTAAGTTAAAAAATAGTCTACGAAATCAATTGATGTAGGTAAGGGGTTCAAGTGATTCCGAAGAGAAGGTGTTAGGCACCCTTCGAAATCCACAATTGTGGGTCTCGACTGAATTCATTCTTTCAAATTGAGGAGATAAAAATAATATACAAATATAATAGCATTCAACACACACAAATAAAAAATAAAATAATAATATAAGATACGGCCTAAGATTTGCCTAACGTCATAATATACATAATAGTGAATATAAAATATATTTGAATTCCATTGGAATAGCTTCTATGAGAAGCAACTCCAGGGTACATGTCAACACACTTAGTAAAAGATTTAGTGATAAATAGTATGAATTAACTCAGATAATAACTTAAAAATAAAAATTCGTCTTAGTAACATGGGAGACCTTGAAAATCGACGGTAATTTCTTCATCAGCCAATTTTAACTCAAACAACAAAAAATAATAAATTATCGATCATTTCGAAAAAGGGTTTAGTATTAAAAAAGTTCGATTGCATTTTCGCAAAATCGTCCTTTAATATACTATACATAAACCCGGAAAAATACCATGAAATGCAATAACAATATACATACAATAAAATGAATAATGAATGAACAACAAATATAATATGCAAATAATCACGATAAATATACAAAATACAAAGTATAACACAATAAAAGAATATTTTTCTCAATTTGAAAAGTGATTCACATTGGTTAGAACCTCTACGTCCCCAGCAGAGTCGTCATTGTTGACATCCTTTGAATGAGAGCAACGTCTCCGTGACTCAATTAAAAAAGAATTTAGTTTGAAAAATTTTGAAACGATTTAAAAAGGGTTTAAAAATGTAAACTGAGTTCAAAGGGATTAAAGGGAGTCGCCACTTAATTTTTAGGGAACTAGGAAATAAATTAACAAATTAACTTAAAAGATAGTCTACGAAACCAATTGATCTAGGTAAGGAGTTCAAGTGATTCCGAAGGGACTGTGTTAGGCACCCTTCAAAATCCACAATTGTGGGTCCCGATTGAATTCATTCTTTTAAATTGAGGAGATAAAAATAATATACAAATATAATAACATGCAACACACACAAATAAAAAAAATAAAATTATAATATAAGACACGGCCTAAGATTTGCCTAACGTCATAATATACATAATAGTGAATATAAAATATATTTGAATTCCATTGGAATAGCTTCTGTGAGAAGCAACTCCAGGGTTTACACATTTAGTAAAAGAGTTAGTGATAAACAAGTATGAATTAACTCAGATAATAACTTAAAAATAAAAATCCGTCTAATTAACATGGAAGACTTTGAAAATCGACGATAATTTCTTCATCGATCAATTTTAACTCAAACAACGAAAAATAATAAATTAAAAAGAAACATACAACAAAAGGTAGTCACATGAAATTAACAAAACAAGATTTGCTAGTATCTTCTTAAATGGTCAATGTAATCATAAATGGTCAATGTAATCAATCAAAATAAATTAATTAAAGAATAACTATATGTGAGTCAAATGAAGCAGCAAAACAAATATAAAGTTATTGAAAAGTGGACAAACTAATAAATATATATATAACATATCACATAGTATCAAAAATGCAAAAATTACAACTAACTTAAACGAATAAAGAGCACATTACTTTCAGAATATGAAATGACAAAATTAATATTATGAAACAATGAAGTCAAACGGAAAATCAACAATAATAATATCATCAAAATTAAACAAAGAAAGTAACATAATCATCGGAAGTAGAATTGAATAAAAGCAATGTAATCAAGAGTGAGACCTACTCCTTAACTTCTCTGCTTATTGGGTTCATATGATTTCCTTGTCGGGTTCTAGATCTGTGTCGTTGCTCCATGGATGGTTCTGAAAAGACTAAATCAATGGAACTTGATGAATCAATTGTCAGATCGATGTTCTTAATTGTCCATCATTCTCAAGTTTATATAACCAAAATACGTATTCATTATTAAGTATCCATCCTATTTGCATATGTAAAACAAACTTTTTATTTATCTTGTTTATTTTGTTTTTACAATATCACTTTGTATACTAAAGAGCTTATATTTATATTTGATTTCGTATTTGTCCTAATGTATTGCCATCCAATTTTGTATTTATATTTGATTTTGTATTCATTTCCAATTCTAAATAACCAAAATACAATTTATTTATGTTATATATGCATTCAACCTAATTGTAGTAAAACAAATTTTGTATTTCATTTTACTTATTTTGTATCTTCAATATCCCTTTTGTATACCATTTAGTTTATTCTTTAGATTTGATATTGTATTCATTTTTAATTTTGAATAATCAAAATACAATTTATTTGCGAATGTATTATACAAGTATCCATACTAATTGCATTAGTAAAATAGATTTTGTATTTTATACAATTCATTTTGTATTTTCAATATTACTTTATATATCAACTAGTTTGTAATCAGATTTAAATTTGAATTCGTCTTAATGGTATACAATCAGGTTTTGAATTGTATGATCTAATTCTTCAATTAAAATAAATATTTATCGTGCTCAATTTGTAAAAATAAATTCACCCGAAATTTCGAATACACAAGATCATCTTTAATGAAATTCATCCGATTACACAAAACCATATTTAAAGAAGTTCATCCAAATACATTTCAGACAAAATTATATCTTAAAAAATTAAATTAAGTAAGAATAAACAATTAAAAAAAATATTTTTACCTTTTTAAAAATATTTTCTTCCATAATTCTCTCCACTATGTTATTAAAAGTTTGTAACTTTCAAAATAAATAAATACAATTACATTATAACAAATTAAAATATTGACATTTTAAATAAATATTAAAAGTGTTGACAACTCACCCTACTAAATGTTAAAATATTGCTATTTTAAAAAAAAAATCCAATATTTTGTTCTTTTCTCCATAAATAAATTCAATCCTATCAACAGGACTAAGCCATATTGATAGTTCAAACTAGAATAGAGAGAGACTGAAAACAGAAAGAGAAATGCTGAAGTAGAGGTGTTAAAGCTTGAGTTAGTTTGATAGAACAACTACATTCCACATCTTAAGATTACCGCAGAATTTATTGAATTACAATGTGGTAAAGAACATGAACTGGAACATTTTGAAACGTCTCAAAACGTCTACTATTACATCCTGAGTACAACTTCTGATAGAGATAAAAAAGCCTAAGTGCAAAACAGAACTACACAAATCTACCAAACCACGATGAGGGCTAACATAAAACACTATAGCACCACTGCTTCCAGTACTTCTCTGATCTACTCGAAACACTTGAACACACAACACAGCATTCGTTGGCGAATCCCCTGGGAATACTTCACAAAGTAACACAAATACACACTGCCAAACTTATTGTTCAAGTTATGAATGAACTGTAAATGCCGTCAATGCATTCTACATTGTTCCAATGAAAGCACAAAAATCAGTACCTCTAATTGTCAAGCAAACTTTACAACAAACTATGAATCCCAGAAACATCTTTATTCGTCATATCAACACACCAAAACGAACAATTATTGACTCACTAGGCCGGTTAGATCTGTACAAGATTAGTCCTCCAGAACACCAAATGCATAATCTTCGATGCAAAAACTTATCGAGAATCAGCTGGCCTGGGAAAAGGGCAACCAATGCTGCCCAACATGAAATAAAAAAAAATTGAACGATACGAAAACATTGTCCAAACTCAACATCTCGAGTTTTCTCTTCCTCGCGTCCTATATCTCAATCAATGACGATACATGTTATCTTGCATTGCATCTTTCAACTGCGAAAACTATCAAACGACAAGTTCAGAATCCAAGTCTATGAATGCAAGGTCATCCGAACTGAAATTAAGATCTTCTTGCCTGCCTGGTTTCAGAAAATCAAAGCCATAGTCAACAGTCATAGGATCTACCACTGCATTCGGCTCCTGACATTGCGAATCTGATACCATATTGTTGTGCTTTCCATCTGAATTGTAGTCCTTGGTGAAAACTGGAGTAGAATCTAACATAGCCAATAGCTCATCTACATCAAACATCTCATCCATATTTAATTTATCTAGACAATCCCATCCAGACTTAAGCGTATCTTCATCAATACTCGTAGGTTCAACAATATCCATCGCGGTCCCTTCGTCTTTCACTGAGCTCAATGGTGTGTCAGCTTCATGAAGAGCACCATCAACCGGACATACCTCGCCGAAACCAGAAGCAACGGTGCAATCAGATGCAGATGCAGATGCAGATGTAGTTGCCCAGGAAACAGAATCACACGCGTAATTTGGCAAATTAAGCCTTGCACAAGGACCATACATAGCTCTTGCAGCATCATCATATGCTAAAGCAGCTTCAATTGCTGTACCAAATGTACCCAACCATAACCTACTACCTCTTTTAGGTTCCCTAATCTCAGCAACCCATTTACCCCATATCCTCTGTCTAACACCTCTGTATTTACACCGCCAATTTTCTGGTCCCCCTTTACCTCTCATACACCCCTTCTTTGAACCTTTAGCAGGAACTTTACGCACTGGCTTCCCTTTCCCTTCATTGTCTAGTTTCTCATTATACTCCTTCCATTTAGCTAGTGTCTCTTCCACATTTTTTGTTCTGTCCCTTCTACTCCTTGATTTCCTCTTTCTACTATAATCCAACGGCACACAAACCATATTAGCAGCTTCATCCATAATAGCCATTTCTGTAAGTAGACAAAACATATCATTTTACTCCCCACAACTATAATTAATTATACAATCATAGAATTACTCATCATTAAGAGCAATATCACAATCCATTTCAAGAAACACAAGACTCTAAAGATAAGAGAAGTACTTAAACATAAGTTCAGATAACATTAAAAAGAAGCAAGAAAAGAAAAGATTGATCTGACCAAACTAAATCACATATAGATGAAATTGAATGAATGAAATTAGGCTACATACCTCTTTTCTTCTCTGTTTTTTTTTTAATAAATGAATTGATCAAATTGGTGAGTTCTTCAAGGTTTTTTTGTTTTTTTTAGTCTCTTAACAAAAAGCTTGTAGAGGATTATTAGAATCAGAAATCTGTTAGCAACAGAGCTACTCGAGTATTTATAAGCCTTCTCTAGATATTTCTAGTATATCTCCTTTTTCGTGTTGTATTCTCTTCATCTCATTTTATACTATATCCTTTAATTTTCTAAAATAAATGTAACTTGATAGATAAGTTTATAAATTTTCTTTTACAAAATTACTATCTCTCGAAAATAAAATAAGTGATAGACATTTTTAAGTAAATCAAATAAATTAGACAATAGGGAGTCTATTTATTTAAAAATCTCTTAATATGGTAACGTGGCAATTATTTAGTCGAGTCGTGGCTGTTGGGATGCCGCGGAATTCAGCACGTGTCACGTGAACCTTCGCGAACCACTCGTTCTATATTTTTTGTAAAATAGTTCCTATATTTACTTTAATTAATTACTCCCTCTCTATAATTATTTATTTATTTTTTTAGAACAAAATATAATTTCAATTAATTATTTAAATTTTTTTTAAAAAAATCTGAATTTTTAATTCATTTTTTTCATAATTAATATAGATAAAATTATAACTTCATTGTGTTAATAATTACTTTTTTAATGAGCATGTCAATTTAAAAGTAAACAAATAATTCGAGAAACAGTAAAACTAAATAATCAGCTTAATTACCTTTATGCCCCTCGGTTCGCGATTGGTCTAAAATCATTTATGAGGACTCAGGAGGCCTAAAACTGGTTACCAAACTAACGGTGCCAATAGTTTTGCAAGTTGCAAGCACATACATTTGATTTAGTGAATCACATGGATCAATAAGTTGGCACATCTTACAAAGACACCAAATTATCTTCTTCTTTTTTTCATTTTATTCGATATATTTATAGTAAAATCTAATCTAATTAAAAAAAGTGTTCCATATGGGTTTCATATCTAACAATTATACCTTTGAATTTGAACCTATAATAGGTAAGACACCAAATTAATGTACATTACTCAAGTTTTAAAACTAAATAATGTTTCATGCGTTTTGAGTTAATAAATTTAGCATCGTATATCACCAACAAATATTCTCATCGTCAAATAATAGTTGTTCACTATACTATTTTGGATTATAGAAATCTCACGTAAGTATGAAAAAATAAAGGATGTATGGATGAAAATAATATTGAGTTACAAACTACTTATATAAGAAAAAAAATTCTATTTTAGTTATATTAGGAATCGTACTACAGCACAATTATTTACAGGAGTAGTGTCGTATTATAACTTAAATACCTTATCCTAGTTGAAACCTACAATATACAGTAGCTTAGTCGTACATAACTTAGGATTTAGTAGTCTAATCTTAGTATGACTCTAACTCTAACTCGTCAGCCTGCTTCTTTGTTCCTTCGACATGTTCCATTAGTCTTCAAGTTTCCTTCAACACTTCCCCTCAATCTAGTGAGTGAAAGAACTGTAACTCTTACCTTGCTGCAAAAACCTGAGAAAACCTATTTTGTTAAGACTTTGTGTGAATATCAATTAGTTAATCCTTAAACTTTACAAATTGAGTAAGAAGTTGTCCCTTGGGCATTTTCTCACAAACAAAATGATAGTTCATTTCAACATGTTTGGTTCTAGCATGCATAACTGGAGTAACTATCATGTACAAGGCACTTATGTTATCACAATACAACGTAGGAACAAATCGAAGGAACACTCCAAAGTCATGCAAAATATATAAAATTCAAGTCAATTCTGCGACAGTGAAGGCTAGTGCTCTACACTCGACTTCAACACTCGATCGGGCTACTATGGTTTGTTTCTTGGAGGTCTAAGAAATACAATTTGCACTTCGGTAGATGTAGCCCATACTTGATCTCCTAGTGGTGGTACAACCTCCCCAATCATCAGATGAGTAGTCATACAATCTACACGGTTATTGTGAAATAATTTTGAGTCCCAAGTGTAAAGTATCTTTGATATACCTGAGAATCTTTTCTACCCTTTGAAAATTTTTAAAATTGGGCTTTGCATAAACTGGCTTGCTAAATTCACAACATGAATGATATCAGGTCATGCGAGGGTCAAATACTGAAGGCTCTCTACTATCATTTTATAAAGTTAGACATCTATAAAACTTCCCACAGCTTCATGCAGACCATGCTTTTGAACCAAAAGAGTAGCTACAGCCTTGCCAAAGTTATCTCTGTCTTGGCCAGCAGTTCAACAACATACTTGCTTTGATTTAAGTGAATTCCTTCTTCGAAATACTTCACCTCAACTCCGAGAAAGAAGTGTAAAGGGTCAAGATCTTTCATAGCAAACTCTTTCCAAAGTTATAGAAGCAACTCTGAGTCTTGAGATGGATTACTTCTTGTGACAATAATATTATCCACATATAGCAAGCGAAATATTTTGCCTTTACAAGTTTGTAAAAGTGAATAAGGAAGGCTCAATCTTACTACAAATGAAACCAAGGTGTAAGAGATGTATGTTAAACCTATCAAATTGGGCTCTTGGTGCTTGTTTAAGATTATACAATGTCTTTTTAAGTAGACACACATGTTGAAGGTACTAGGGATCAATAAAACCAGGAGGTTGACTCATGTACACCTCCTTTAGTAAGAAGCCATGGAGAAAGACAGTTTTGACATCTAGTTGTCTAACTTCCCACTTTGAACTAACAACAATGGATAGAACCACCTTAATAGTTGTGGCTTTAACCACAAGACTAAATATTTCCTCAAAATATATCCATCCAAGTTGCGAGAATCCTCTTTCCACAAGTTTGGCCTTGTATCTATCTACTGTCCAGTCAACTTTTAATTTTGTCTTGAACACCCATTTTGAGCCAATCAAGTTCATACCAAAAGATTTGGGCACCAAAATCCATGTTTTGTTAGTATGTAGAGCATCAATTTATTTATGTATTGCTACAAGCCGATAAGGTGACTTTAGTGCTTCCTTAATAGTATTTGGTTCTCTTAAAAGTGTTGTGCTGCTGCGAGCAACAAGTGACAAGTGATGTTTCTTCGCCTTGTGCCTGGTGATCATATGATGCCCTTGTGGTGCAAGGAGTATCTTAACTTGTACATCAACCAAAGTAGTTGATGAACTATAGCATTGTTAGATTGATGGTTAACTAGTAATCAACTAAAGTAGTTGTTTGATGATGCTCATTGGTTGGAACAGTAAGTGCAACTTGTTCCTCACTACTACTAGCAAATCCAAAATCTACAATTGGAGGTTTAATAGAGTTGTACGGATCAACACCTTCAACAGGTTCCTTAACATCTGATCATGTACATGAGAGGCTAATAGTACTCTCATCATTAATGATTATATGAGTTGTCGCGGCATTATCCCTATTAATGTTTGTACTAGCAGTTTGTACTTTCCCTGAATCAGAATTATCATGTGCCTGCAGTTTAGAGAGATTTAACAAAAGTAGCAAAATATGGTGAGACATCAATGTTAGTCTGAGATTGCTTTGGAGACACACTAGATAATGTGTTTTCATCAAACAAAACATGTGTGATATGTAAACTCTCATTGTAGAGGTATGATAACATCTATATCCTTTGTGTAAGTTATTGTACCCTATGAACACACAAGGGTAAGTCTTTAGATTAAACTTGTTGCTACCCTTGATATATGAAAAACATCTACACCTAAACACTTTTAGGTTATTGTAATCAGGTTGTTCCCCATACAACTTAACAAATAGAGTCACCATCTTTAGGACTGAGGAAGACAGTCTATTGATGAGGAATACTGCAGTAAGGAAAGCCTCAACCCAAAGAAACAAAGGTGGATTAGCATGAAGTAGTAGAGTTAAGCCACTCTCCACAATACACCTGTGTTTTCTCTCTGCAACTCCATTTTGTTCAAGGTGTTAGGACATGAAATATATCTCACAATCCCAAATCTTCCAAATGCTTAATGAAATTTGTTTAGATAAACTTACCACCTCTATCACACTGAAAAATCTTAATCTCTTTAGAAAATTGTTTTCCCTCTGAAACTTTAGAAAGACCTCAATGAATTCAGATTTCTTTTTCAGTGAATAAATCTATGTATATCTTGTGTGATCATCAATAAATGTCATAATATTTCATATGTTAGAAGATTTGACAAGATTAGGTCCCCAAAAGTCACAATGAATTTTCAATAAAGGTTCTTTCTCAATATTAGTTCTCAAACCTTACTCAATTTTATTTCTCAAATCAAATTGAAGTTTACAACTCTTTCCAACTAACAATCAGAAGAAACAATAGGGATTTTTATTTCAACTACTAATATTGATGCATCTATTACTACTCAAAATTTCTAAAGACTTCAAACTAGGGTGTCCTAATCTAGTGTGCTACATGTTGTCTGACGTGTTTCAATTGTGTGCAACATTTAAAGCATAGAGATTATTATCTTTCAAAGCATAAAGTTTATTTCTGTTAGATCATTTGACCAGCAGTGTCCTCTTGTCCTTTACAACAAAGTTAGTTTCATCAAATTCAAGAATGCAACGATTATCCTTTGCAAGCTTACTAACTGAGAATAATTCTTTTTATTGATCTTAGGAACTTCAAGAACTTCTTTTAACTTTTAGACATGTTCCAGATATAATTTCAACATGTGTTATGGCTAACTTTGATCCATTCTCAACAATTATTTTATCTGGTCCATTGTAGTGTTTAAGATCATGTGTCATATGATTACTTGCTCCCGAGTCCACATACAAGGTGTCATCAATAGTGTTTTGTAGATTAGTAACAGTCAATGCTTGTGGTATCTTATCTCTGACTCAATAAGAGCAACTCACCTATAAAAACTTAAGAGTAGTATGGTCATTCCTACAACAAATTTGACACACATCAGTATTGTTTCTCTCATGGCTTATATTCGAAGGACTGTTCTGAGGACCTGATCCATTTCTGCTGCTATAAGAACATGTTCCTTGTCCAACAGGCTTGAAGCCTCTTACTCTGGAATTGAAGTTATTATTTCCACTTCTTTGAGAATAATTTCCTCTTCCCATGCTTCT